TTTAAAACTAGGTATGATAGGGAAATGGGACAGGAGTCATTGCTGTAAACAACCGATAGCTGGAAAGGCGGGATCCAAGAGTCAATGCTCGATCCTGCAAGCACAAATAGGTAAGTACAAATAGGTGAGTACACACACACACACACGCACGCACGCACGCACGCACACGCACACGCACCACCTGTGATGTGGTGGAGGCTGACTCCATGCACAGTTTCAAATGTAGATATGATAGAGCCTAGTAGGCTCAGGAATCTGTACACCAGTTGATTGGATGTTGAGAGGCGGGATCAAAGGGCCAGAGCTTAACCCCCGCAAGCACACCTAGGTGAGTACACACACACACACACACACACACACACACACACACACACACACACACCAGCGGAGTCCCACAGGGTTCTGTACCCGGACCTATCCTGTTTCTGATATACGTGAATGATCTTCCAGAAGGTATAGACTCATTCCTCTTAATGTTTGCTGATGATGAGAAGGATTAAGACAGAGGAGGACAGCAAGAAGCTACAGGATGACTTGGACAGACTGAAGGAATGGTCCAACAAATGGCTACTAGAGTTTAACTCGAGCAAGTGCAAAGTGATGAAGATAGGCGTAGGGAGCAGGAGACCAAACACAAGGTACCAGCTGAGAAAGAAAATCCTTCAGGAGTCAGTACTAGAGAAAGATCTGGGGGTTGATATAACGCTAGACCTGTCCCCTGAAACCCACATCAAAAGGATAACATCAGCGGCGTATGCAAGGCTGGCGAACATAAGAACTGCCTTCAGAAACTAAGGATTAAGGAAACTAAGGATGTGTAAGGATTCATTCAGAACCTTGTATATCACATATGTCAGACCAATACTGGAATATGCGGCTCCTGCCTGGAGTCCACATCTAGAAAACACAAAACCAAGTTAGAAAAGGCTCAATGGTATGCCACCAGGCTAGCCCCCGAGCTGAGAGGAATGAGCTATGAGGAAAGAAGAGTTAGGAGATAGAAGAGTTAGGAGAGACATGATCAATACCTTTAAAATTCTCAGAGGAATTGACAGGGGGTAAATAAAGATAAACAGTTAAACACGGATGGTACGCGAACAAGGGGACACAGGTGGAAACTGAGAACCCAAATGAGCCACAGGGACGTCAGAAAGAACTTTTTTTAGTGTCAGACTAGTTAACTGACGGAATGTATTAGGCACTGATGTAGTGGAGGCTGACTCCATATGCATTTATTGGATACCCATGTGCATGGGAAATAGGCTTACAGGTTCCGGAAGATGAGAGGAAATGTCAGCACTGCGGAGAAATGCCCGACAGACCACTGGAACATTATCTAACACAGTGCACAGTTACAAACCCATTAAGATTTCAACTTAGATTCAACAGAGCAGAAGAAGTTGTTAAACACATATGGCAAAATCTTACTGAAGCGACCTTACGAGTCATAAATAATCATACTCCGCCCAAGTAAAACAGAAACAAGCAACACTTAGTGGGCCAGCCAGAGGCTTAGGGCCCGCGCTGGAATATCCCTAAAGGAAAAAAAGGCATGTTCAGCACAAGACATGACAGAACCATGGTGAATGAAACTTAAGACACACAGAAGACAGTAGAATGAGCTTTCTCTCGGCTAAGTACTATTTCGGGACTATCAAAGCAGACCATCAAATAGTAAGGAATTGTCCAGCAATATCCACACATTCTCTTCCCCCCAACACCTGCCGGCTCAGGGCTACTGAAGGAAGTCTTTGTTGGTTCACAGTTATAAGCCAAAAAAATAATATATACATGCATAAACAGGTGAGGGACTTGCATACATTTTGGTACTTAATATTGTCTAAGATCAAACAGCCCATGTTAGGCGATGACCATGCCATCACCTCACCACAACAGCTCTGTAAATAGGTAAGGTATGTTTCGCTACCCTTCAAGCCAGAGAATAAATGCGGGTTGATTTGTTTGGTAGTCACAATTAACTAATGCAGATGAGGAGTTACAATGGTTGGAATATGTGGACCAAACTACACACTAGAAAGTGAAGGGACGACGACGTTTCGGTCCGTCCTGGACCATTCCCGACTTGAGAATGGTCCAGGACGGACCGAAACGTCGTCGTCCCTTCACCTTCTAGTGTGTGGTCTGGTTATCTTGATATGATTTCGGGGCTTTTTAGTGTCCCCGCGGCCCGGTCCTCGACCAGGCCTCCACCCCCAGGAAGCAGCCCGTGACAGCTGACTAACACCCAGGTACCTATTTTACTGCTAGGTAACAGGGACAGGGTGAAACAAACTCTGCCCACTGTTTCTAGCCGGCGCCTGGGATCGACCCCAGGACCACAGGATCACAAGTCCAGTGTGCTGTCCGCTCGGTGGTCAACACAACTAACCAATGGCTTGCAGTGGCCTCCTTTCCCTTTCCCCACCACCACCACGTTCTCAATCTTTCCCTCTTCCCCCCCTCATCACCCCCATCCCATCCCAGCTCACCCATTCCATCGTCCACCTTCTTTGTCTCCGCGCCGCGCGAGGTCCCACACAGCCCATGAATATGCATGCCGATCATCCACCGCTTACGGCTAATGGTGCAGTTTTAATCTGGATTTCAACATGATTGATGTGCTGGTGATTCGTGGAGAGCCTAGTTCCCCCCACCCCACCCCACACTGCCCCCTTGACCGCCCGCCCCCCCTCCTCCCACAATCATCCATCAAAACCACGCCAACCAGCACTCAACCACATAGGTGGGGGGGGGGGGTAGAGGGGGGGCTATCTCAACAACTTTGTAACCACTGGCAACACCGTTGAGGTGATAGCAGTAGTTCAGTGGTTGTAACGACTCTGGTGGTGGGAGGGGGGGTTGTAGGGGTGGTGGTTGTGGATGGGGGGTGGTGGTTGTGGAAGGGGGTGGTGGTTGTGGAAGGGGGGTGGTGGTTGTGGAGGGGTGGAGATTGTGGATTGGGGCTGGTGGTTGTGGGGGTGGAGGAGTGGGGGGGGGGCTGGTGGGGGGGGGTGGAGGGGGGGGTTGGTGATGGATGGAGGGGGGGGGGGTTGGTGATGGATGGGGGGGGGGTTGGTGATGGATGGGGGGGGGGATGGTTGGTGATAGGGGTGGACGTCATAACAAGACACACCACAAATGAACGAGGTGGGGGGGGGGGGTAGTAATTACACAAACTCGTGAATCACCACCACCGTAAACAATCACCAGCATTCACTGAATCATCACTAACATCCCCCCAACTGTAACAATCAGTGGGACGGGACATGCTGCCCATCACCACTATTTAACCTCGTGCACAGGTCAACCCCTAATGTTAAATGGTGGGGGCCACGCTGGCCAAATTCCCGCTCGTATAAATAACACGGATTTTCGAGTTTCATCACCATTTAAGCTGTCAGTCACCCACCGCTCAGTTACTTCCATGTGAATATTTCCAATGGCTGTTAAACCACTCAATGTCTCTAATGGCAGGTGGCCCATTCATAATTTATTCACGATTTATTTTTATATATAATATACAGAGGTAGATGAGCCACACTTTAGTATTTTTATTTTTATAATTAACACATTTAGGTACATCTGCATTTGTGCAGCTGCTCTAGACTATATGAAGGGGAGTACAGAGTGTGTCAAGAACTAGCTGCCCTAGACTATATGAAGGGGAGTACAGAGTGTGTCAAGAACTAGCTGCCCTAGACTATATGAAGGGGAGTACAGAGTGTGTCAAGAACTAGCTGCCCTAGACTATATGAAGGGGAGTACAGTGTGTGTCAAGAACTAGCTGCCCTAGACTATATGAAGGGGAGTACAGAGTGTGTCAAGAACTAGCTGCCCTAGACTATATGAAGGGGAGTACAGAGTGTGTCAAGAACTAGCTGCCCTAGACTATATGAAGGGGAGTACAGTGTGTGTCAAGAACTAGCTGCCCTAGACTATATGAAGGGGAGTACAGAGTGTGTCAAGAACTAGCTGCCCTAGACTATATGAAGGGAAGTACAGTGTGTGTCAAGAACTAGCTGCCCTAGACTATATGAAGGGGAGTACAGTGTGTGTCAAGAACTAGCTGCCCTAGACTATATGAAGGGGAGTACAGAGTGTGTCAAGAACTAGCTGCCCTAGACTATATGAAGGGAAGTACAGTGTGTGTCAAGAACTAGCTGCCCTAGACTATATGAAGGGAAGTACAGTGTGTGTCAAGAACTAGCTGCCCTAGACTATATGAAGGGAAGTACAGTGTGTGTCAAGAACTAGCTGCCCTAGACTATATGAAGGGGAGTACAGTGTGTGTCAAGAACTAGCTGCCCTAGACTATATGAAGGGGAGTACAGAGTGTGTCAAGAACTAGCTGCCCTAGACTATATGAAGGGAAGTACAGTGTGTGTCAAGAACTAGCTGCCCTAGACTATATGAAGGGAAGTACAGTGTGTGTCAAGAACTAGCTGCCCTAGACTATATGAAGGGAAGTACAGTGTGTGTCAAGAACTAGCTGCCCTAGACTATATGAAGGGGAGTACAGAGTGTGTCAAGAACTAGCTGCCCTAGACTATATGAAGGGAAGTACAGTGTGTGTCAAGAACTAGCTAGGTGATTCTAAACATCCCCATCACACAGGATGCTTAAGTCACTCAGGATCAGTAGCCAGCACTGGCAAACTCTGGGTGCATTATGAGGATATCCTCAAGACCACCATTTCACCACTTTTCACTGAAATATATTTAATAAAGGCCCCTTTGCCTCATCACTCTCCCGCCTCTACCCACCAGGCCTATGGACAGTAACATTCCTGAGAAAAAAAATTATATTTTCTGCTGCCTTCCATTGAGATCCAAGAGGCGAGAGCGTGTTTACCTTGGGGTCGTCCTTATCTTAGGGTCGTTGAGGATGGGGGTCGTGCTTACCTTAAGGTCGTTGAAGATGGGGGTCGTGCTTACCTTAAGGTCGTTGAGGATGGGGGTCGTGCTTACCTTAGGGTCGTTGAGGATGGGGGTCGTGCTTACCTTAGGGTCGTTGAGGATGGGGTGGTCGGTAACGCCGGGGAAGAAGACCTTCATAACGTAGCTACGGTGATCCAGGGTTGGGATCCCAGACGACTCCAGGTCAGCCGTCAGATCCGTCATATCCGTCTGCAGCTCCGCGAACGCTGCCGCCGAAGAAATGGAGTCAAGTTATAAGAAATATTGTGATTTCTTGAAGATATTCGTCGAGAAGACGAATATCTTCAAATTTACTGCAACTGTGAATGCTCATATAATACAATATTGTTAATGAATGCCTTCTCATGCTGTAAATAGAATAATATGATGGGGGGTAGGGGGGGGGGTTCATGACCTCTTGCTTTGATATCGTTCGACGATATCGAATCGACTTGATATCGTCGATTCTCAAGTCACAATCGACTTGAGAATGGTCCAGGACGGACCGAAACGTCGTCGTCCCTTCACTTTCTAGTGTGTGGTTTGATCAACATATTTCTGCATTTTGGTCAACGTTATTTTGACTCCTCGTCTGCACTTGCTACGATACCTTACGCTTTCCAACCAGCCAGCTTAGGCTGCATTTAAACGATCCCAGCCACCTTACGAATTGGCATTTATGAGATCTCAACTACTGTACGAAGGTTGATAACTACCTTCGTGCTTAGAGAGGGTCAAGCAAGAACAGTCAAACAAGCCCTCTGTGTCGTTCAGGGGCCAGATTCACGAAAGCACTTACGCAAGCACTTACGAACGTGTACATCTTTCCTCAACCTTTGACGGCTTTGTTTACATTTATTAAACAGTTCACAAGCATGAAAACTTGCCAATCAACTATTGTTATTGTTATAAACAGCCTCCTGGTGCTTCGAAGCTCATTAACTGTTTAATAATTGGAAACAAAGCCGCCAAAGATTGAGAAAAGATGTACAGGTTCGTAAGTGTTTACGTAAGTGCTTTCGTGAATCTAGCCCCAGGACGTTAACCGAGTGTGCCGTCAGCGTACACGTTGAAGTGAGAGATTAACGTGAGTGAGGAGATTTGGGATTAAGGTCGGGGAGGAGATTAGGGATTAAGGCGAGTCAGAAGATGAAGTGTGGCATTGGGATGTGTTTTTGTGCTCCTTTCCCGATTAAACTATATATTAAACTATATGTACAATACGTCTATATTTCAAAATACTCTCGTTCTCCCGTATCTTGGCCCTGAACCACATACCCTTCACCCTTGAAGCTTCAGTCTCACGATACGAGCACTACTATTTGAGTACAAATTAAATGGCAAATAGTAACGAGGAAGGAGAGGGGAGGGAGTGAGAGGGGGGAGGGAGTGAGAGGGGGGAGGGAGTGAGAGGGGGGAGGGAGTGAGAGGGGGGAGGGAGTGAGAGGGGGGGAGAGTGAGGAGGGAGAGAGGGGGGAGGGCAGGCTAGTTAGTTGTAACAATAAAAACAATTTAATGAATCACAATATAGCATCATTTGTTGTTATGGCAGCGATAGGGATTGACGGAATTACCAATGCGGCCATTAACTTCACATGTAACGATTATATGTTATTAGCAACCCATCCATACCTCGGTATAACGGCAATATTTCCGGCACGATGGGTATATGTGACTAAAAACGGCAACACCTGACACCTACGGCAGGACCTTATACCTGACACCTACGGCAGGACCTTACACCTGACACCCGCGGCAGGACCTTACACCTGACACCCGCGGCAGGACCTTACACCTGACACCCGCGGCAGGACCTTACACCTGACACCCGCGGCAGGACCTTACACCTGACACCCGCGGCAGGACCTTACACCTGACACCCGCGGCAGGACCTTACACCTGACACCCGCGGCAGGACCTTACACCTGACACCCGCGGCAGGACCTTACACCTGACACCCGCGGCAGGACCTTACACCTGACACCCGCGGCAGGACCTTACACCTGACACCCGCGGCAGGACCTTACACCTGACACCCGCGGCAGGACCTTACACCTGACACCCGCGGCAGGACCTTACACCTGACACCCGCGGCAGGACCTACTTTCATCTAGTGACTAACCCTGGACTATGCTCTCCTCCAGTTTCCAACAGGTTATATATATTGTATATAGTGCCCTCTCGTAGGAAAGCCCTACGAGAGGCAAAATAAAAATAAACTCGCTGATAATGGAGTTGAAGACACTCACCTTGTTTACACTCTGTTCGGACGTGGCTCTCGAGGCTATCCATCTGGAGCTGCATGAGCTTGTACACTCTCTCCGCCTGGGACGACTTGCGGCGGTACACGGCCAGCACGACGAAGGACGCAAGCACCAGGAACAGCGCCCCGCCTGCTAGTCCGGCGATGCCCTCTGGGGTGAGAGGGAACCTTCGGTGCCGCTCGTAGCGCAGGACCCCCAGGGGAAAACGCAGGTACTGCCCCACGTGCACCACCACTAGCGGCAGCATCTCTGGGGTGGCCACGCCTCGCTCGTCCGTAGCGTCTGGCTGCACTTCGGGCGGCGTGCACACCAGTTGCGTCGCCGCCAACGAGGTGACATTGCAGAGGGACAGTCCGATAGACACGCGTACGTCACTCTCATCCGCAGCATCGTTAATATGCTCTCCCTCGATCACCAGCGTGTCGCCCTTGTAGAGCTTGACGCCGTGGGGGAAGGCGTAGTAGCGAGGATCCGTCATGTACGTCAGGCGGGATCTGACGTTCGGGAAATGTTTACGGAGGTGAAGCACGGACGCGACGCCGTCCATTACGAAGCCAACATCGACGGCGACTTCGTCGCCGTCGTGGTCCCGTCTTCGTGGAGATCTTTGGGCTTTGTGAGATCGTCTGCTGCGACTTCGACGACGGCGCCGTACAGTATCGTGCGCCTCTAAGATGCCCAGAACAGCGTCACGGTCCAAAGGTGGCGAGGGACACTCCATCTGATCCGGGCCCAGGACACGACAGGCGGACGAGTTGAGGACACGTTCGAAAAGATTGACAGTAATCCGTGGCGCCTGTATGGCATCCAGGTGTGTCCCGTGGACGGTAACGAGACGGCCACCACCCCACGGACTCTTCAGTGGCTTGAGTTCGAGCACTCTAGGATCCGGCGTGTATGTGAAGGGTGACGCCAGAGTTCGACGAGCACCGTCTACAGTCACCGCCAGAGTTCGCACGGCCCTAGCGACGTCTTCACTCTCCTTGCTGGCGTCGCCTGAAGCCGCCGCCGACGCCCTTGACGTGACGCACACCAGCCGGTGCGACGACGATTGCGTCTTGTTGACGACGCAGGGAAGGTCGTCGAGCTTGGCGGACACGTGAGAACCGACGTTCAGGAAGCGGCCGCTGACGGAGAGGACAGTGCCTCCGGACACCGGCCCGTGTGACGGCCACACCCCCGTCACACTCACGTTCTGTAAACACAAACAAAAATAACATCACAACAATAATAATAAATAAACCGAGTAATAAACTATGAATAATAAATACGAACAATATTTTAATATTAGTTCATACTTGGGATTAATAAATTGAAGTAAAATGTATTTTGTAATGTGAATGGAATAAATTTATGTATTTTATGCATCCCAGTGTCTGGGATGCTCCCGGACGCAGGTTCGAATCCTCGTCACGGCCCTTGTGGATATATTTTATGTAATTACAAAATTGGAAAAAAACAAAATGGTGACTAAAAAAATGCGACATTTAAGACACTCACAGTGTACGTGAACTTAACGGTGGACTGAGTGGTTCCCGCAGGAGTGGTCACCCGGACTGGGAACTGCAACTCTGTGGAAGCCGGTAATCCGTGACGGTGCGGCGCGGGGCTGGTGCGGCACGTGATCCTCACCGACACGCGATAGTCGTGCACGTGGCAAGGCACGTCCCCGATGAACACGTTCTCCTGCACGTCCTCCTCCCGGAGGCCCAGGTTGCTGCCCTCGATGGTGACCAAGGTGCCGCCCTCCAACGGGCCCGCAAGAGGCTGAATCTGGAAGGAGAAAATTCCACCGTCAAATGTACGACCTCAAGGAGCTACAATAAGCTTAACTCTAGTCGATATCCAGGCTTATCTGGTGATGATTGGTTAAGCTGTTGATTGACACGGCACGCAGGGCCACGCACCCACCACAGAGCCTGGCTCATCTGGCACAATCTTTTCAATTTGCAGCGCTCACACTTCAAACTGCGCTACTCTGCCGACACGTTCATGGTGTGTCAAGCGTGAATGTTCGCATGTGGCTAGCATGACGGAAAGGGTGCATGGGGCGGTAGAAACAACAGCTCCTAGTGTGTCCCCCCCTCCCCCCCATTGCTATTATAAATGTTGGAACATATCTTACAATCCCCCCTTTCATACACAAAGTAGATTTCATAAATTCAAGTGTAGATATGATAGAGCCCAATAGCCTCAGGAACCTGTACACCAGTTGATTGACAGTTGAGAGGTGGGACCGAAGAGCCAGAGCTCAACCCCCGCAAGCCCAACTAGATGAGTGTACACACACGTACACACACACACACACACACACACACACACACACACACACACACACACACACACACACACACACACACACACACTAAGCAGAAGTACAGATATAGCTATATACAAATATATGGAAAGGAGAGAGAAGCCATGAAGGATGTTATAGTAACAGCTCTGAAAACACAAGGCAGTGAGAGATTCTCCACTTGCCAAACCTTCATTTCCTATAGATTCGCTTTTCTTTATTTTGTCAATTATATCATCTTATGCTCTTTTTAACTCTACCTTTCGCTTCTCACACTTCTGTTTCACTTGCCTCCATTCCATTTTAGATTTTATTTGCTTTTTGTATCCACTTTATCCCGTCCATTCCACTTCCTGTATTCCCCCTTCCATTCCCTCCGTCCCCAGCTCAGAGTCCATCAGTCATGTGTTTGACAGTTAACATAAGAGGAGAGATTGCTTCTTCCTACGTCATCGCCCGTGTGTCTGCCATCTGCTCCCCGATTGGCGGGCTAAAAAACAAGGCGAGCCAATCAGCTTCACAAACCCTGCTATGCATCATCGTGGGCGCTCCTGACAAGAGCCTCATCATTGGTTGCACACAAAACAAATGGACCAATCACACGGGGCCTTCCATACGTCATCATCGGTATTCCTGTCAGCTGGCCTAGTTCCCGCGCGCCTGACATCTCGAAATATGATGGCGGGAAAGGGAATGGGGCGCCAGAAATGGGTGTTTCTAGGGGGGGTGGAACAACGAGAGGTAATGATTGTGACACCCACGGCGCAGGAGAGGGGACATCATAATAAACAGAGAACACAGACCATAATGCAATCACCACGCGATGGGGGGGGAGAACAATCGTCTAGAGAGAGATTGGAGGTATTGTGATGGGACTCCAAGACAGGTGAGACAATAAATCCACAAGGGCCGTGACGAGGGTTCGAACCTACGTCCGAGAGGATCCCAGACGCTGCCTTAATCGACTGAGCTACGACATGGTTAAAGAATTGCAACCGGGAAATCATCTTGACCTACCACGGATCCTGCAGTCTCTCCGAGACACAAATCAGGTTTTTAAACAATTCCACGGCCCTTGTGGATTTTTTCATTTGATCCACCACGCTATTGTGAGATATCTGTGTGTGTGTGTAGTAGTAGTGGGCATCCTTCAGTCTCTGAAGACTATGGAGTTGCGCCCAGACAGGGCGCAAAGCCTGGGTAGGTAGATATGGAGGAGAAGCTGTTACCCATGCAGCAGGTCCCCCCACTCCACGTTGCTGAAATTATCCAATAGAAAGGCAAATGCCAATACACATGGTTCCAGCAACGTCGCAGGAGCTGCCAGAACGAGGTCAACGTCAACAACGAACTGCCTTAGGGACTCCAACTCCGGATTTTTCCTCGAGGTGGACTCCTGAAGCCTTTCCCAAAATAGGGTATAGCCGCAAGGCAGCGGAGGTTTAAAATCAGGGTTTTCCTTCCCCTAGATGGGCTGCCTTCCCAGGCTATCGAGTCCCATCTACCCGGAGCAGCTGGTTTTAAGGCGCCAGAGGCACGCCCTCGCCCCTTCTCCTGTCGGTAAAAGCAGTTCCGCCGGAACTCGTGTGTGTACACGAGACAATATCATAACTGATCCATCTTCGTCTTGGTAACGAGGATACAGTAAACTTGGCTTCATTGTCAAGCCTTAAGGCACAGGCTCTATAACCCAACAGAACCACAGCGTTCATCTTTAAGAAACTGAACAGACTTAGTCTGTCTCTTATCCTTTCGTTATAAAAAGCGGGCTATACAAATAAACAACTGCAACTAAGTGTTCCAATAATACACGACCCCCCCCCCCCCCACAGTGTACCAAAATGGGGGGCAGGAACCCCATTCCCCTTTATCCCTCGTGTTCCAGCAGTACATACACAAGGCGGAAGACGGAACGACAAACAAAAGGCCAGAATCAGTATTAGCGGCGGAGAGCCCCCCCCCCGGGGGGGGGCGAGGAAGGCAGGGCCCCCCCCACACCCACGACAACAAAAGCAATACCAACAATTTGGCGGCGGGAACGTTTTTGACAGAAAGAAATAACACTACACCCGTCCCACACCTGCAGTACTCCGCGGGGGTGGAGGGCTACTCCAAGGGGCGGGAGGGGAGGAAGAGAGAAAGAGAGTGAGGGGGGGGGGTGACTACCAGGAGAAAGGAAAACTCGGGCCAGAACACCCTGAACCTCCGGCCAGAAGCTATCCACTTACTGCCCGTTTACACCCCCCTACACATCGTCCCACAAGTGTCTAAAGTGGGGTCTTGGGGTCAGCCATCCGTTCCCTGCCTCCGTCTCTCCGTTCTCTGTCTCGCCAGACGATCAATGACGCGGTGGTCACGGTACTGTGTACGTTTAGGGGTGATCCTGGACGTCATAGGTTCGAATCCTGGCCGGGTCAAATATGATTTCTAATGAGTTCCTTCTCCTACTATCCCATTCCACTTTCTCCCCTCTCCTCCTCTTCCTTCAGTTCTTTCCCCTTTTACTCACTTCCTCCTCCACCCGTGACATTGTCACCTCAAGACACAATCTATTCTTCGGAGCCATGAGGGGGAGACGACCATCGCTACAATCATCATTAACACCCCCATCACCACTATCAACACCCCCATCACCACCAACAACACCCCCATCACCACCAACAACACCCCCATCACCACTTAAGTTACTGTATGCCGCTCCCCGCCCCCCTTTAACAGAGACAATATACCACTTAACGCCTCCATAATTTCTGATATGAGAGCCTTCCTCGGCGTCGACGCGCAAGTGATGCTTCCCCGAGGACTTTTGTGGAGGGGGAGAGGGAGGGTACGGAAGATATGGGGGGGGGGGGGGGGGGAAGACGTGCCGGGGGGGGGGGAAGACGTGCCGGGGGGGGGGAAGACGTGCGGGGGGGGGGGGGGGAAGACGTGCCGGGGGGGGGAAGACGTGCCGGGGGGGGGGGGGGAAGACGTGCCGGGGAGGGGGGAAGACGTGCCGGGGAGGGGGGAAGACGTGCCGGGGAGGGGGGAAGACGTGCCGGGGGGGGGGGGGAAGACGTGCCGGGGGGGGGGGAAGACGTGCCGGGGTGGGGGAAGACATGGGGGGGGAGACGGGAGGGAAAGGGGGGGAGGGGTAATAGTGAAACGGGAAGATAGAAAAGATTTTGTAGGAGCCGCTGGAAAGGTGTCAGAAACAGTCACGATGGTGTCATGGAGCCACGGAAAGGTGTCACGAATATTTTAAATAAAATAATCCAGCCCCATCCTCCTGTTTTCGTAGTCCTTATAGTAACGATGAGCACCATAGTACATATACCGACATACAACGCATTTAGAAAGTAGAAATTCACACTATTCAATTTGGAACAACCGGAAAAAGATTTTCCATGTTGCAAAGACGTAGGGAGTCGGTCGGCCGAGCGGACAGCACGCTGGACTTGCGATCCTGTGGTCCTGGGTTCGATCCCCGGCGCCGGTGAGAAATAATGGGCAGAGTTTCTTTCACCCTATGCCCCTGTTACTTAGCAGTAAAATAGGTACCTGCGTGTTAGTCAGCTGTCACGGGCTGCTTCCTGGGGGTGGAGGCCTGGTCGACGACCGGGCCGCGGGGACGCTAAGCCCCGGAATCATCGCAAGGTACGCTGCATAAACTCTTCAAGACGAGGGAGAACTATGCTAAATACTAAATGTAAACAAAGACTAATTTGTACCAGTAGATTCAGCAATATAAAAGGAGAAAAGCAAGGGATAGAAATCAAGAATCTGAAATAATAAACAAAAAAAAGGGGGGAAAAAACTTGGCAAGGAGAATGTAATATCTTGCAACAAGCCGTCCATGCCGAGGCTATAACTGCCAGACACCAGCAGAACGACAATACCAACACGCACGACAACTATGGCGACCTCATCAACGACCACTCAATGACAGGGGAGTCGACGGTAAAGGCCTGGACATGGCCGCTACAAATCTCTTGCGAGCATCAGGAGTGGTTAATGTGGTGTGGGATGGGGCCCCCCGGACGACGACTCGCGGGGGAGGGGGGCGACGGACGACGACTCGCGGGGGAGGGAGGCGGTGGACGACAACTCGCGGAGAGAGGGCGCCACCGGACGACGACTCGCGGAGAGAGGGCGCCACCGGACGACGACTCGCGGAGAGAGGGCGCCACCGGACGACGACTCGCGGAGAGAGGGCGCCACCGGACGACGACTCGCGGAGAGAGGGCGCCACCGGACGACGATTCGCGGAGAGAGGGCGCCTCCGGACGACGACTCGCCTAAGGGCGGCACCTCCGGACGACGACTCGCGGGGGAGAGAGGGCACCTCCGGACGACGACTCGCGGCAACTAACGACACCCCCTACACCAGCACAACAGGAGGCCTTCCTAACCCAGGTGATGCATCCCCACCAACCCCAACACCTGCCACCGCTCCCGCCCCGCCAAGGGGGGGCTGCAAGCCACAATCAGCATCGCG